GTCGGCGCGAAGGCGGCGGCGACCTCAGCTCTTCGTGGATCCGAAAGACGGCGCCGGGAAGTTGATCGTCGCCGGTGGCGGCGGCCTCCGAGTTCGCGTCCTCGCCGCCGACCATGCCGCGCGGGGCCCGTACGACGGCGAGATGGGGGCCTGCTACACGGTCCTGTGAGCCCGGGGATCGTCGTCTCCGGCACACCGCCGCACTCGCAAGTAAGCCGTAGTCGACGTCCACGGGGCGACCCGAGTAGAACTCGGGAGGCACTCGTCTCTCGAGTCTGGGCTTGGCGCGTACCCCCGGCGAACTTCATGAAGCGGAATCTGCGGAGAGCGCTCTCCTGAAGATGGTGCCTCTGCCAAGCTCGTTCGTCGTGCTCGTCGTTGCAACCTTCGCTGCGGACTCGCTCGACATCGGTATGGCACAGCACATTGCTGAACAACAAATGCTCGACATCGACACGGCACAGCACAATGCGGAGATGCCGCCGCTGCAGCCGAACCCGCCGGTCTGGCCGGACTCGGTCACGGTCTTCGGCCCCGACGACGCGGCGGAGGCGAACGCCGTCATGACGCGGCTCTCGACGACCCTCAACGACCGCGCGGCGGGCCACTTCTCGGACGAGCGCCGCGCGTTCCTCTTCAAGCCGGGCGCCTACGAGATGGACGTCGCCGTCGGCTACTACGTCAGCGTCCACGGCCTCGGCGCGTCGCCCGGCGACGTCGTCGTCGCCGGCCCGCGCGGCATCTACGTCGACGCCATGGACAAGCGCGCCGGCGGCGCGGGCAGCCTCGACACGTTCTGGCGAAGCATGGAGAACCTCGAGCGCGTCGGCGACCTGCGCTGGGCCGTGTCGCAGGCGGCGCCCCTGCGGCGCGTCCGCGTCGGCGGCGACCTCGTGCTCCACGACGGCGGCGCCTACGCGTCCGGCGGATTCCTCGCGAACGCGGCCGTCGGCGGGCGCGTCGACTTCGGGTCGCAGCAGCAGTGGGCGTCGCGGAACGTCGCCGTCGGGCGCGGGGCCACGGGCGGCGCCTGGAGCCTCGTCTACGTCGGCTGCGAGGGCGTCGGCGCGAGCTCGGCGCCGGGCGTCGAGCCGCGCGCGAGCGTCGTCCCAACGACGCCGCTCGTCGCCGAGAAGCCCTTCGTCGTCGTCGACGGCGAAACGTACGCGCTCCGCGTGCCCGAGATGAAGCGAGGCGCCGCGGGCTACGCCTTCGACGAGCCGTCGCGTGACGTGCCCTTTGAGCGGGTCTTCGTCGCCGACGCGTCGAAGCACGGCGCGGAGGCCCTCCAGCGCGCGCTCGACGCCGGCCTCGACGTCGTCCTCGCGCCGGGCGTCTACGAGCTCGACGCCGGGCTCGTCGTCGGCCGCGCGGACGCCGTCGTCCTCGGCCTCGGCCTCGCGACGCTCGTCGCGCCGGCGACCGGCGCGCCGGCGGTCACAGTCGCGGCGCCGGGCGTCCGCCTCGCGGGCGTCGTCCTGCAGGCCGGCGACGCGCCCCCCGGCTCGTCGCTCCTCGAGTGGGACGGCGACGGCGGCGTGCTCTCGGACGTCTTCGCGCGCGTCGGCGGGCCCGGGTCGCGGGCCGCGCGCGCGGACACGATGGTCCGCGTCGCCGGCGCGGGCGTCGTTTTGGACAACGTCTGGCTCTGGCGCGCGGACCACGCGGCGCTCGCGCCCGGGGAAGCGCCGCGGCCCGGCGAGGTCTACCACCTCGTGGCCGACGGCGAGTGCTACAGCGAGACGGGCCTCGTCGTCGACGGCGACGACGTCGTGGCCTACGGCCTCGCCGTGGAGCACACCCTCGGCGACCAGATGATTTGGCGCGGCGAGCGGGGCCGCGTCTTCTTCTACCAGTCGGAGCTGCCCTACGACGTCGACCAGGCCTTCGCGGACGCGGGCCACGTGGGCTACCGCGTCACCGCGGCGGCGCACGAGAGCGTCGGCGCGGGCATCTACTCGTTCTTCAGAGACAGCCAATGCCTCGTGCCCGCGGCCGTCGCCGCGCCGCCGACGGCGAACTTCACGAACGCCTTCACGAAGCACCTCAACGGCCACCCCGGGATCCTGTCGGTGACGTAAGTTAGTGCCATCCTAGTCGTCGCGGGCCTCGGCGTCGTCCTCCTTCTTGGACTCGCGGTCGTCGTCGCTGTAGTCGTCGCGGCGGCGGCGGCCGCGGCGGCGGGACCGCTCGCGGCTGCGGCGCGACGCGTCGTCGCCGGACTCGGCGCCGTCGTCGTCGCGCGACGACTTCTTCTTCGACGACTTGCGGCGGTCCCGGGACCGGGAGCGGCGCGACCCGTCGTCGCCGGACTCGGCGCCGTCGTCGTCGCGCGACGACTTCTTCGACTTGCGGCGGGACCGATCCCGCGAGCGGCTGCGGCGCGACGCGTCGTCGGACTTGGCGTCGTCGGCGGCGCCGGCGTCGCCGTCGCCGCCGCCGTCGTCGGGCCGGTCGTCTTTCTTCGACTTGCGGCGGCGGCTCCGGTCCCGGGAGCCGTCGTCGCTGGAGTCGTCGCGGCGCCGCGACTTCTTCTTCCGCGACCGGCGGTCCGAGTCCGAGGAGCCGCCGCGGCGGCGGCGGCCGCGGCGCCGCGACCGCGACCGGGACCGCGAGTCGTCGCTGTCGTCGCGGCGGCGCCGCGACCGGCGGCGGCTCCGGCTGCGGCTCCGGCTCCGGCCGTCGGAGCCGCGGTTGTAGTAGCCGCCGTTGTCGTAGGCGCCGAGGCCGCCGCCGCCGGCCGCGTAGCCGCCCGCGTAGTTGCCGACTCCGGGGCCGCGGCGGCCGCCGTTCGCGAGGCGCACGGGGCAGTCGCGCCCGAAGTGGCCCATCTGGCCGCACTCGTAGCAGCCGTCGGCCCGGCCCGCCGTCGCGCCGCCGTCGTGGCTGTAGCGGCACGCGTCGCCGCGGTTGCAGCGGCCCGCGGCGAAGTCGAAGCAGGTCTCGAAGGCGCCGTTGGCGCCGCCGACGGGCGCGCCGCCGCCGCCGCCGCCGTAGGCGCCGCCGGCGCGCTTCGCCGCGCGCACGGGGCAGTCCCGGCCGATGTGGCCCTCCTCGCCGCACTCGTAGCACCCGCCGCGCGACATCGCGGCGATGAGGATGCAGCCCCGCGGCGATCACCCGAAAGGTTTCACGATGCCGAAGGCAAGGCTGCCCCGAGTGTCCCTGCGGTTTGCTGCCCTTCGTCTTAAACTCCCGCGGCCACCACCCGGGAGCACCGGCGCCCGCAGCCCCCCCCCGCGCCGCCCCCCCGGCCCCGGACGCACGCTTCAAAAGGATGCCGTCGACGACCATGCGCATGTCCAACAACGGCATCGCCGGCCCGCCGAAGCGGGGCTACGAGACGCGCGTGCCGGAGAACGCGCGCTACGCCGACGTGCGGGCCAAGGTGTCGTCGGGCACGACGCAGGCCAAGGTCAAGTACCTGACGAACCGCCAGGTGCTCATGCGGCGCGACGAGACCTTCCGGCGCATCTCGCGCGACGACCTCGCGGAGCTCTTCGAGGAGTACGAGAAGATCGACGATGAGCGCCTCGACACGCTCGGCGCGGGCGCGGACCCGGGCAACGGGCCCCGCGTCTGCGTCTACGAGGAGGACGCCGCCGTGACCTACGAGCGGCCCTACCTCGTCCTCGACGTGCGGTCCCCCGAGGAGTTCGGCGACTGCCACGTGCTCCAGGCCCGGAGCCTGCCGCAGCGGCTCCTCATGCAGGACAAGGTCCAGGGCGACATGTACCGCTTCCGCAACAAGGAGGGCATGCTCATCGTCCTCTACGACAACGACGAGCGCCTCGCCGCCGCCGCCGCGCACCAGCTCGCGCACCGCGGCTTCGACAACGTCTACGTGCTCTCGCGCGGCCTCACGGCCTTCGCCGCGGCCTTCCCCCACTACGTCGAGGGCGACACGTCGACCCTGCCCCAGCCCGAGCCCAGCCCCCGCAAGAGCGGCCGCGGCCGCGGCGGCTCGTCGTCCTCGTCCTCGTCGTCCTCGGCGTCCGCGCGCGCGGGCTCGAACCGGTCGACCGCGTCCACGGTCCGCGCGCTCTCGCACCGGAGCGGCTCCGTCGCGAGCCACGCGAGCTCCCGCTTCAACCAGCGCTCCAACCGCCGCGACGACGACGACAAGCTCTCCCGCATGTCCGAGCTCTCCGTCGCCGACTCCGTCATCTCCCGCGCGACCAATCGGAAGAACCGCTACTGATGGAGGGGGGCGCGGCGGCGGCGGCGCTTGTTTTTAAATGGAGCTTTCGTTTGCGCCGATCAGGGGCCTCGGCCGCGGGCGGCGGCCGCCCTCCTGTGTGTGTGGTGTCCTCAGGGGTCACCGGTGCCACAGTGTCCAGCGCCGGCGGGTGCTCGCACTGCGGCGGCCTGGGACACAACGTCCGGGCCTGCCCAACCTTGGTCGTCCCAACTAAGCCAGTGCCAGTGCACTTACTCGGGCCGCGCACTGCAGAGCTCATGTGCAGAGCGCCACGCGCATCTACACGGACAAGGGCTGCAACTGGCAGGCGCTCGCGGGCGGCCACCCGCGGGCGCCCGCCCGCGAGCGTCCACACTACGTCGTGACGCGTGGGTGCAGTGGATCACGACCAAGGCCGACCGCGCGCCCAGCATCATTCCAAGAACGGCGACCCCGGACCCCCGGCCATACTAACCCTAGCTCTAGCCCCGGCTGAGGCCGTGGGCGAGAGCAGCTCGAGACAGCTCGCTGATCTCGTATGCGCTCGGCGTCCCCGCGACCGGCTGCCGCGCTGCGCGCGTTTCCTCATGAGAGCGTCGGGACTGGCCAGCAGAGCATACGGCGCGGCGCTGCGGAAGCGACGACGCGAAAAACGCCGTCGTTCTCGCCTCGCCGCTCGCCGATGCTCTCCGGTCGGCCCGACGACGACGCGCGCGGCGCGGGGGCCCGCGAGAGACGCCGCGGGGGGCGCCCTCACTACCCCACACGCCCTGCTCGCCCTCGCACGCGCCGCCGTCGTCGAACGCCCCCTCCTCCGCAGGTTTTTCACGATGGGCGGAGCCAACAAGCCCGATGCGCTCGGCAACAAGATGCGCATGACCCTGGGTCTGCCCATGTCCGCGGTGATGAACTGCGCCGACAACAGCGGCGCCAAGAACCTGTTCATCATCTCCGTGATCAACATCAAGGGCCGGCTGAACAAGCTGCCCAGCGCGTGCCCCGGCGACCTCGTCATGGCGACGTGCAAGAAGGGCAAGCCCGAGCTGCGGAAAAAGGTCATGCCGGCCGTCGTCATCCGCCAGCGCAAGCCCTGGCGCAGAAAGGAGGGCCTCATCATCTACTTCGAGGACAACGCGGCCGTCATCGTCAACAACAAGGGCGAGATGAAGGGCTCGGCGATCAACGGCCCCGTCGCCAAGGAGTGCGCCGACCTCTGGCCGCGCATCGCCTCCAACGCGGGCTCCATCCTCTAAGGCGCGGCCGACGGTCCGTGCGCGTGTGGCCGCGCCGGCCGCCGCGAGTTCTCGCGGCGGGCGGCACGGCCGGGCGGGCGCTCCTTCGGAGCTCCGCGCGCGCAAACTCCGCTCACAACCAACCAACCACCTATAACCACGACTTTACCCTCGAAGACGGCGAGCCGCGGGGCGCGCGGGACGCGCGATTCCCGGGGGCAACACCGCACGTTGCCGTCGCCGAGCAGTCCGGGAGCAGCCTGAGCACCGAGCGCCGGTGCCGACGATGGCCACGGCACCGGACCCACATCTCCTCGCGGAGCACCAGAAGGGCGTCTGCGGCCACCTGCGCATCCGCGCCGACGCGGCGCAGCTCCGCGGCCGCCGCGTGTCCTGCGCCTACGGCGCCGAGACGGCGGTGCTCAAGGGCAAGACGCCGTCCTTCTTCGTCGCCGTGCGCAAGGGCGCCTTTTCCGACGGTAGCATCCCGCCGCTGGTCATCGAGGCGCCGCGCGCCGACGACGATCGGCCGAACCGCGCGGCCGCGGACGTGTCGACGCTGCTGTCGGGCGAGGAGTCGGTGCTCGAGGCGCGCGCCGAGCCCGACGGCCCGCGGTTCTGGGTCGAGTACCTCCCCTACGGCCTCGAGCCCGAGCGCGGCGACGTCGTGCGCCTCGAGCCCTTCGCGGCGTTCCCGTCCGTCTTGGACGTGATCCCCGCGGCCGCGCGCCTCGACGTCGACGACGCGTCCGACGGCGGCGTCACCGTCGCCTGGGACCACGCGCCGGCGGGCGGCGGCGAGCCCTGGCGCTGCGTCGCGCGGCTCCGGCGGTCGGCGGTCTTCGTCGCGCGGCGCGACACGTGGGCGGACACGCTCCTGCACCAGCCGGTCGCCGCGCTGATGGACACGGAGACGGGCCGCCGCGTCGAGCCCGTCGCGCGCCACGCGGGCGACCTGCTCCGGCCCGCGGTCCTCGCGACGAAGCTCGCCTGGCAGTCCATCTCCGCCGTCGGGGGCGCCGTCTTCGCGGAGGCGCGCGACGCGTACGGCCCGCCGCCGCCGGCGTAAGTCCTAGCGCTTTAGCTTCCGGCTCGCGCGGACCGCCTCGGCGATGCCGGCCTCGCAGTGGCGCGTGAACTGGGCGCAGACGGCCTCGACCTCGGCGACGGCCGCGTCCGCGCGCTGCTTCTCCGCGAGGTACTTGGCCTCCATCTCCTCGTAGAGCTTGAGCGTCGCGTCCGCCCGCTTTTCGGCCTCGGCGACCAGGATCGCGGCCTCGCCGTCGTCGACGACGCGGCCGTTCCTCTTCGGCGACGCCGCGCCGTTCTGCTTCGGGGGGAGAGCGGCGCGGCCGTTCGCGCGGCCGTCGGCGCCGTCCTTCGGCGCCGCGGCGCCGTCGGCGTCGGCCGGGGCGACCCAGCGCGCCGCGAGGCGGCCGCCCTCGCGCGAGACGCGGTACTTGACCGCCGCGCCGACGCGGAGCACGGACTCGTCGGCGTTGGCGAACGCGAAGAAGACGTTGTCCTCGCGGTCCGTCGCGCCGTCGGGCCGGATGAAGCCGAAGCGCTTCTTCGAGACGTTGGCGACGACGCCGCGGAGCTCGCCGCTCTCCGCGGCCGCCGCGGCGGCCGCGGCCGCCGGCGGCGGCGCCTCCGCGGCGGCCGCGTACGACTTGGGCCGCGCGGCCGCGGCCGCGGGCGACTTGGCGCGCGGCGCGGCCGCGGGGAGCCCCGGCGCGCCGCCGCGGAGGGCGACCTTGGTCGCGTTGCCGTCGCCCGACGGCTCGAAGGTCACGGCGAGGCCCACGGCGAGGCGCCGCGGGTCGCCCCTCGACGTCGTGAACTTCAGGTTCGACGCCCGCGACGTCGCGCCGTCGGGCCGCACGTAGCCGACGCCCTTGGTCGCGTTGAGCGTCACCACCGTGCCCGTCGCCGCGCCCGGGGCGGCGCTCGCCGTAGTCGCGCCGGGGACCGCGACGACGCGCGCCGCGCCGTAGTCGCCGTCCGCGACGGCCTCGTACGACACGAGGGCGCCGACGGCGAGGCCCTTGACGTGCTTGAACCGGAGGTTGTCGTCGCGGCTCGTCGCGTGCTCCGGCCTGAGGTAGCCGAAGCCCTTTTGGCTGATCGTCACGACCTCGCCGCGGCGCGCGCGCGCCGGCGGCGCCGGCGGCGCGGCGCCCGCGGCGTAGAGCCGCGCCGCGCCCGTAGTGGGTTGGGCCCAGGCGAGCGACGGCTGCGCCTCGACGAAGGCGCGGCACTTGCGCGTCTGGCCCTTCGTGATCACGTCCTGGTAGCGCGCGTCGACCTTGTAGAAGGCGCCGATGGACGTCGAAAGCAGCGACGGCTCGGCCTCGCCGGGCGCGGGCGCGCCGTGGGCCGCGATGAATTTCACCAAATGCGCCGCGACCTGGGCGTCCGAGAGGTCCGCGACGACGACGGCTACGTCCGACATGGTTCGGTGGTGGCGCGGTCGCGCTTTCGGGCGGTGCGCTGCGCGAGGCGAGAATCGCGGCGAAGCGAGGCCGAGATCGGGGCATCATCAGATCATCATCGGCCAGCGCTGCTAGGTGAAGTGAGCCGATGAGCGCTTCAGCAGCCCCGGAGAGCGGCACCTGGAGCAGCGCCTGAAAGCAGCACTCGACCAACGCCGCATCCATGCGCCTGATACTAACGCTCCTCCTCGTCCTCGGCGAGGCAGCCGCGAAAACGAGGAACCTCATCGTCGTCGCCGGCGCCGGCAAGTGCGGCACGAACGCTTTGGCCTACCACGTGTCGGCCCTCGTCGGCTTCCGGCCGTCGCGGCGCGACAAGCAGGCCCAGGTGAAGCTCAACGGCTTCGCCGGCGAGGTGAACTACCCGAACTGCTCGTTCGGCGGCGGCGTCAGGCCGGCCTACGAGCAGCTCCTGCAGCGGTCGAAGTCGCGGCCGGGCGCGGGCCTGGACAAGAGCGCGAACTACCTCGGCATGCCCGGGTGCGCGGCGAAGCTGCGGCGGGCGTACCCGGCCGCGCGCGTCGTCGCGTCCATATGCTCCGCGGCGTCGCGGCTCTGGAGCCGCATGAACCACGTGAACCGCGACCGCAAAAGCGACGACGCGTCGGACCGATCCAAGTCCGTCGACTGGCCGGCGCACGTCGTCGACGTCGCGAGGGCGCAGCTCGCGAAGCTCGACGCGCGAGGCTGGTCGCTGGACAGCTGCCGGACGGGGCCCGCGACGCACGTCTGCAAGGTGCTGGTCACGTCGCGCTGGCACCGCCAGGTCTCGAGCTTCCTCGACGCCTTCGGAAACGACTTCGCCGTCTTTCTCATGGAGGAGCTCCTGACCCTCGAGGGCTTCGAGATCCGGTCGCGGCTCGCGACGTTCCTCGGCGCGCCGCCGCCGACGCGCGAGGGCACGGCGAAGCACAAGGTCGTCCACTCGAACGCGGCCCACAAGAACTACAAGAAGGAGAAGGGCCACCCGAGATTCGCGGAGCTCGCCGCGCTCCTCGAGCCCGTCTACGCCAACGACACGCGGCGCCTCGCGGCGCTCCTCCCGGACGCGCCCGTCGACCTCTGGCGGCGGTCCGTCCGCCCGGGGAAGGCGTCCTAAGCACCCGCACCACGGCAGCGAGCAGCGCGACAGTACGCCTTTAGCGGGGCGAGGGCGCCGAAGTTCCGTGTGGCGGCCGCGGCCCGGAGGCGCCGACGAGCCTAGTAGACCTCGGCGTGGTACTGCTTGGCCTTCTTGAGGGCCTTGACGTCGACGAAGTCGCCGAGCGCCGCCTCGCAGGGCTTGAGCATGCCCCTCAGGCCCGAGACGTACATGTGCCCCCCGGCGTCGATGATCTCCTTGACGACGAGGGAGAAGTCCGCGATGCGCTGGGGCAGCGTCGTCTCCGAGCCGTCGTCGACGCGGTCGCCGCCCAGCGCGAGCTCGACGCGGAGCTTGCCCGGGCCGAGGTCGGCCGCGAGGGCCTCGAACTCCGCGACGTAGGGGATGGCCTCGCGGTTCGCGCCGCCGAGGAGCAGCACGACGGGCCCCGTCGCCGAGAGGTCGCCGAGGCGCTCGAGGAAGCCGCGGAACGTCGCCGCGCCCGTCGACGTGCCGATGAGCACGAGCCCGCCCGACGTGTCGTCGGGTAACGCCATCGTCTTGCCCAGCGGCCCCTCGAGCGCGAGCTCCGCGCCCGGTGCGAGGTCCTTCATGTAGTGCGACGTCACGCCGACGGCGCGCACGCAGAGCGCGAGCTCCGACGTCGCCGCGCCGGGCTCCGGCCGCTTCGACGCGATCGTGTAGAGGCGCCGCTTCTTGTGGGGCTTGCCCGTCTTCTCGTCGTCGCCCGGCGGCAGCACGGACACGGACTGGCCCTCGACGTAGTCCATGCCCGCCACGTCGAGCACGACGTGCGCGATGGCCGCGGAGCCGCCGGGCGTGTCCGGCACGACGGTCTCGGCCGAGACGACGACCGCGTGGCCCTTGGCGCGCGGCGCCGCGGCCGCGGGCGCCGCGGCGGCGCCCGCGGGCGCGGCGCCGGCCTCGAGGGCCGCGAGGCGCGACTTGACGACCTGGAGCCGCGCGTGCTGCGCGACGAGGAGCTGGACCAGGTTCTCGTTCGTGAGCACGTACGTGTCCGGCGCGGGCGAGACCTGGGCGGTAAAAAGAGTGCGAAATTCCCAACTTCAAAGGCTTCTCTCCCGGCCGTTTTCGACTCGTTTCGGCTGATTTTTGGACGAGCGATCATCCCTCGGAGCGCTCTCGACGCGTGGATGCTTTCTCTGGAACGCGCGCGCGCGGAACGCTCACGTTGAAGCGACGTTGAATCACTCGTTTCCCGCCCTGGGCGAGACGACGTCCGGGAGCAGGCCCTGCACGATGCGCGCGACCTCGGCCTCCGCCGGAGCGCCGGCGGCGGGCGCGGCGGCGGCGGGCGCGGCGGCG